CTGATAACCATTCTGGGGGGCGGAGCCAGCATCATGACATATGAGACCAGAATACTCTTATGTTAAAAAGAACAAGTGCAAAATTTGCCAACAAAAGAAAGTTACACATAATCAATACAAACTACATAACTCAGAAGAGAAGCAACTTGATATTTCAATTTTCAACTATAGTTAGCAGGTAATAGTTGAGCAATTCATAGACATTCTGATACATTTAGTTACTGTGGTAAGAAATATAAACCTTCAAAGCAATATCCAAACAAGTTTGTCGATAAGGAGGACGTCCCAAAATCAAGCTCCATACAGCAACAAGACCTTGAGTGACACGATCACCTTCACGATTTTCTCCTAAATTGTGCTCATAACCATTTGAATGACACAAATCTTCCAACAATTTCAATGAAGAGTCAGGTAGAAATGGAGCTTCGCTAAGCAGTTTACTAAATGATTTATCTGTAGCGGGCAAGGAATCCAGCAATGTCCTTACCTGCCAATGCAACAGCAAATAAAAAATTTTAAAGCAAGAGAAAATATTTTAAGAGACCAAGAGACTAAAAGAAATAAAAGTTCGCAATACATATTAAATTTCAAAAGAATGCTTACAACTCCCAGAAGAAACTTCTCATAACTACTAGCAGCTGAGGAAGAACAATCATCTAATTCAGAAATCATAATTGCATGCAGGTGATAGAGAACATGCATTGCAAGCTCGTGCCCCTGCAAAGGTACAAAAAATACTGAATATGTGAACGCAATCATATCTTAAAATGAAATATACAAATTTTACATCAATTTTAAACAAAAAAATTGATAATTTAAATCACATAAAAGGAATAGTTAGGGAAATACACATGCATAGCTGAAATCCTGCATATAAGCAGTTTTCATTTTTCCAAGTGATGACCAAGGAACAGACCTGGCAAGCAATAGCCTGGAAGTCCAAGCTAAGCTTATGTACACCTCCACATTAACACGTATATGCATATATATAATAACAACACATTCTTACAGAAAAGAAATTTGTTATATCAATATACATCAGACATTCAGAGGCATAGCAGCACAAATCCTATGCTTCTTGAGCTAAGATTATGGTGATATAACCATCCTTCTGTTACTTTATATCTTGAGTGCTTCCAGAAATCATTCCTCCACTAATAGAGAATATCAAGCATTTATAATAGAATACCAAGTTATTTGTATAACATGCATGAAATAGACATAATTTCAAAGAATGCAAACACTACAATCAGAGCACTTGAAAAGGGTCTTCCAAACAGCAGAAGCTACAGCACCGATAGCTATCTGTAATGTCCAAACTATTTGAGTCGGTTAAAACGGCCTTCTGATAGGCAAGAATCATAGTTTGTAGGATTAAATCATGAACCAGGAGTTCACAATTGCATTATTATTCATCCATGAAAAGTTCATGAGAATTAAGAATGAAAATTTACGTTACATAAGATCGGATGATCATATATTGCACAGTTCTTCAAGAAAGCCAGCAGTGATTCTACAACACTGTTTACAAACATGAATTTGTTGGAACATAGATCAGCAAGTAAATGATAATTGTATCAATTAATGTGACTCCACAATAGACAGACAAATACTTACACATATCTTACTACATATACCATAATTCATACCTCCCAAGTTCAAATGCAACTTTAGGTACTGGACCTATATCGGTATATGGCTAGACAGATACAAGTTCAGTCCATGCAGGTGTGCAAACACATGATGCACTGGCATGTACCAAGGGGAGTATGGAGGAGGACAAGGAGAAGGAGAAGAACAAGAGGAGGACAAAATGTAGCAGACATTAGATGAGGGGCGCTGGTTGGGTGACGGAGAGTGGAGAGGGAGATTTACAAGCCCTAAAGGAGCATCAGTGCCTATTAGGGCCTTTAAAAAAGAAAGGAACAATGTCTTGCCACTTAATGAAATAGGCTGACAAGACTGCCTGAAATGGGACAGTCAGCATCCTGGTTCAAACCCGAATCAATAAGTATACAGATTGGTCAGTGTCAAATTGAATTCCATACTTCTTCCTGTCTAGCATTGTCATTTAATTTAAGCGATGGACATATAAATCAAAAATTGGAAGTAGTGACCAAAAACAAATTCTGCTGTGGAAGTAAAAGTACCTGATCATGATGGTAACCCAATATATGTTGTTGTAAAAACTTAAGAATGTCACCATCAATCCCAGTTTGTAAAAAGGGAACATAAAAGAAGCAAAGAACAAAAGGGAAGAAGGAGGAGGAAAACAGAGGAAGAAGAAAGAAGCAAGGATGAGGAAAAGGAGAAGAAAAAGAAAAAGAGGAGGACAAGATCCACAGGAGATGAGGCTGGCAACAGGCATGCAAACAGTCAGGTGAAGTAATGATTAAATACAAATTGTGGCGTGGAAGTAAAAGTACCTTATGATGATGGTAACCCAATATGATATGCTGTTGTAAAAACTTAACAACATCACCATCAGCCCCAGTCTGCAAAGAGGAAACATAAAAAGATGCAAAGAACATTAGAAATTTGCATTAATCATAAACAGTACCCAAATTAATGTGGCAAAGCAAGTGACAAACTTCCATATGGTTTTTAGACTATCATTTCCACCTAAAAGAACCAAAAGCAGTGCGATAAAAAAGTGAAACCATCAATGTGATTAAAAGTAGGGTTCATCGTGTCGACCTGTACCGGGCAATATGGGCGGTACCTACCGATCCGACAGGGGACCCCATATCACTCGATACGGGTCAAAATCTGACCTATACCAGTCAATAACGATCAGATTTCTACCGATACTGATCAATAGCTAGGATTTGTTGAATTCAAATGGTCCATTGACCATTTGAACCAAATCTAAGGGTTTTTAAAACCTTTCTAGCCTCTCATTCTCTTTCCTTTCAGTCTCTCTAACTCATCTACTCTCACAATCACTTTCTCACTCATATTTCTCTCATTCTCTTATTTGCACTCTTGAACTCCACAAAACTGTGATTTGTGGATTAAATCAAGCTTGGAAAGCTAATTAGAGAAAATTAACACCTAAGTTAAAGGAAGAACTCTTTAATCAAATGTATGTAGATAATTTCTCAATCGCATTAAGTAATCCAGTTGGTCCGAATATATGGCAGCGACGTGCACAACAATCTCGACCAACAATGGCGACGACGCCGAGGAGTCAATCGTCTCAACTACACAGTTTGAGGATGGTGCATGGACAAAGAAGTAATATTTTACGCATGCCACCTAAGAATCATATCATAGAGCTCGATGTGATAGTTGGTCATTCTTCTCTAAGTAGTCGTACGATGATTGATGTTATGATATGGAGTAACTGATTAATGGCGAAAGTAGAAGTTTTGATATTCTTCATGCTCCGCACCAATATATGCCACAATTGTACTCATCTCAGAAGTTGCCTCAGGCACATGTGGTTCATGACGATCAGACTACGACTATCACCACATTGAAGCACTAATGGCATACGATGTATCAGTATACTATGTCGTGGGATCAATTTCTGAATTATGTCCAACAAACATATCAAATTGATATATAGATACACAGGATCAAGGACCTCGATCTACTGCCTGTGAGTCCCGTCATTCTTTTTGGTGGTAGAATCAGGTATATCCATCGATCAATTACTTAATTCATTTATATCTTAAAGTTTAAGTTGTTTAATAAATAATCTAACAATTTGAATCATTTCTTTGTAGATAATTCAATATCAACAGAAGGACGATCTAAAATATACTACAGTGCTACTCCTCAAAGCCCGAAAAGGATATATGCCGCTATTCTTTCCTAATTTAGATTATTTTTGCTAAAATTATACTAGATTTATATTTAATTCCAACTTAAAAACTTTAATCTATTTTTTTATTTTTAGGAATTTTTGGAGCTATTTTTGACTATTTTTTTGTGTGATCAGTACATCCTACCGTACCAAAACATGATACGTCGGTACATAGCAGTACATACCATAACACCGGCCGGTCAATACACCGATATGCACTAGTAAGGTGAACCTTGATTAAAAGTATTATATATGAAGCATTCATTTTTTTGACAGAACAATAACATCTTGCCATCAGAGTGTCTATCCATTACAACAAGTGGTAACATAGAAACAAGAAATACATTTTCAGATTGCACACTCTAGATATGAAATAAAAAGAATATCTAACGATTAAACATACTTTTGTACACCACAAACAATTAAAACTACAATTTCATAGATACACACACCGATATGTGTAGAAGTCTATATAAATGGCCCAACATGGATAATTATTACCTGTGCAACCAAACGTGCTAGCAAAGGAAGGCATGCTTGACCACATCCTGTAACTTGGAGATGCTTGTAATCTTCAACAATCCGTGTAACTGCTAACCTGTGCAGTTCACTTTTCTGCTCATCCATTAATTCAACAAGAGGTGGATGTGTGGTCAAATCATGACTATTATCCTCAGGGGTCAATGATTTAACATCAGGTGAAGAAAACTCATCACATTCTGAAAGGTTATGAACAACACCTTCATTGGCAGTAGCGTCTGATGGTGTAGATGCTGCCAGTTGTTCTTCAATAGATTCTACAGGAGAAATCTCCAAGTTGGGTGGTGTATCATCCAAAGATTGATCCACTATCATAACATTATCCTGAACTTCCGAAGTTTCTGTTGTTTGCAATTTCTCAATCATCTGATTCTGACCAACTGGCTCATCAGAGGGCTCTACATCAAGTTTAGAAGCCAACAACGAAGAAGAATGTTCAATTTTGATGGCTTCTGAAATAGCAACTGGTTTACTGGATAACTGAGATGGCACAGGCTGCATATCATGGCTATTTTCCAAGTTTAAGGACACAGAGTGTGAATTACCAAATGCCACTGATCGACGGGGATCAAGGCGGCGAGGATCCTATAGATAAAGTACATTAAATACTATCCAATTCTAAATCTTACAAAGGAAGGCAAAAGAAAAAGAATAAAAATGTCGAAAACAAAGATTAGTATATACCCTCCTGGGGTCCCGCTTGGACTCGGTAGAAAGACTAGAGAAAGAAGACACATCAGGTGTTACGCTGAATCCATTAGCACCAACTGAAGATGTTGCCAGCTCAGAAGGTAATGAAGAAGTCGGTGCAGAAAGATCTGTTGCAGTAGTTGATAACACCTGCGACGAAATGCTGGGCAAGGAAGTCTCTTCATTTGATGATCCATTATTATGCCGGACAGATGCTACCACTAAGTTCTTTGGAAGATGTTTCATAGTTTCTATAACTATATCAGCCATAAGATCAGCGTGAATATTTGATATAAGAAGCTCGAGCGATTCAGCACCTCTTTCTCCTTCAGCCAGCAGCGCACCAATCATGGCAATCATCTTTTCAGCAGGTGACAAGTCACTACCCACGAGAGATATGCTTGAGGAATAATTACCATTTCCATCATCATCATTATCATCTGCTAAGTCATATGCCATTTGAGTAGAATGTGCTGTCTCAAAAGGCATATCAAACCGTATCCTCTTGGCAGGCAACTCCTCAGAAAGAACATCACTAGGTGGCAATACAGTCTTATTCCTAGTAACATCTCCAGATACAGACTCTTGAATGGATAGTGGATCACCCTGATGACACACATAAAAAATTTGAATACAACTTTCTGAGTTTCATTAGAGTTGTGCTGTAGATAATTAAAGAAGAAGAAACTATATTCAATACCTTACTGACTCGAACATCATGGGATACACGGTCCATAGTTCTCGACATTCTCTCCACTTGTCGAAGAACTTGATCAATCGATTCACCTGGGCTTATTGCTCGCAATGCCCTTATTATCTTTTCTCTTGACTAAAATAAATAAAATGAACATATTAAAGAAAACGATCAAATTATGACAACAAAAAGTTAAACTAGAAATCCAGGACAGCTTAAGAGTCCATAAAGGGGCAGATGTACAGAATTTCTAAGAATTATCAATGTGACAATCAAGATTAGTAAGAGACACAACAACAGAAATGACAAATAACATCATCAAGCTTCTCAATGCACATGAGAAATCTACCCAAAAACACCTAAAGCAACTAAAAGATTTTTTTTCTTTTCCGTAGTGAAGCTACAAATGCAATACATCAGTTATTGATGTCATCAATAAAACATTTTTGACTAGGTAAGGTCACAAAAAGTCAAAAACACAAACAGAAAAACAATAAAACTACTATAGATAACAAGATTTTACAAATTAATTGATGCCAGGTTTAACATCTTCTCAATAGTTGTTCTACTTCTACCTATAAAAGCATAACTTTTCCACTTCAAGCTTCCTCTTCATTATGACAGAAACATAATCATGGGCTTATACTGAAAAAGCCCAATTCACTCCCAATCATCCAAGTCTTAATCTACTTGGTAATCTCAGAAAATATAGTATAATACTGTAATACTGTAGTGGTACTGGGCGGTCGGCGTACCGATATACCATCGGACTGGTATATACCGCTCGTACCAGGCAGTACCATTCGGTACTGCATACCATGCTTCCCAGTTCCCACATCACTCCATGAAAAAGAAGGAATATTTCATTAAGTTATGGGGTTATTGATCTCAAATATTGGTTTCATTTTAAAATGTATATCTCACTTGTAATGGTTCACATTTTAATAATTTTAGTGTCTAACAAATTATTTACATGACTCCACACAATTAATTCTCTAATATTTCATACGACTCCAACTTATAAACAACAGGAATGCAGAGAAGCCCATGACCATTAATAGTTTGTAGTTTGTACCTGCCATATGTGTGACAAACGCATAAAAAGGATGGTACAACTAACTACAAGGACACAAGCATTCATGAACAAATCAAGATGTAGAACAGAATTTTTACCTCAGTGAATGATGGATGATTACACCGTAGAAATCCTACAAATGCAGTTCTCAGACAATATCGGATGCTTGAAGCGTGACCACCGTTTTGAATTTCAAAATTAGGATCAAAGGCAAGCAGAGCAGAGAGAATAACTTTGTACCTAAGAGGCCTGTTCTTCGCAATGCTTGCAAGACTGGAAAGCAGAACAATAATGTTAAAGTAAAACTTAAGTGTACATGATCCAGTTAGCAAGCAAATATTTGCAAACCTTGATGCAAAGCCACCTAAAACAATCCGAACAGTCTAATCCAAATGTGCCAGTGAAAATTTGTTATAATAAGAGAAAAACTAAGACACGGAAAATACCTTTGAAAACCTAACAAGAAGATGGCAATTTTGGGTGAATTGAGCTTACAAATCAAGATTTTATCAACAACAGTAAAATGAGCTTGACTTCCAACAAAAACTGAAAGACAATCAAGTCCAACAAATAACCTAAATATTCCTAAAGACGAACTATGCTCATGCGCTTTAAACAATTAACTTCTTTGACCTAAATTTTCCTTGGCCAATAAATTGACATCCACTCCTCAGAAACATATAATTCAGCCATCTTCCATAAAAAAAAAAGAAAATTTCCAATAGATTCAAGAAAATTATTTTACCGTGTATCACAAACTCAGAAATCTATGTCAACCATAGACTGTTTTGCCACATGTCAATTCACATGCCAAAGGAAAATTTTTAACAAATTGTCCGAGATTTTCAGGTTTACACCTGTGTCATGCATATGTATTTACGTGTGTATCAAACCAGCATGTGCCAGAAGGGTGACAGCGAGATTAAAAAAATTTAAATTTTAAACTTATAATATTACATTGACAGGAAATGACAAGCATTGGTCAGACTCAGGTGCACCCCATGCATTGAATCCAATTTCCACCAGTGTGGTATGTCATGAAAAACCCTTTCATCCTTGCTGGTTAGTAGAACAAAATCAACCAGTTGCTTCCTTAATAACATTTCATAAAGCATATAAAAGAACTTATTACAAATCTTACTCAAAACAAAGAGAAAATACTGCATCATCATATTCTTGACTTCACAAATATCATCACACAATTTCCAGCTCAAATAGCATCACTTCTATTTTACTCAAATGTTTGTATATGCAAATCTTACTCAAAACAAAGAGAAAAGACTGCATCATCATATTCTTGACTTCACAAATAGCATCACACAATTTCCAGGTCAAATAGCATCACTTCTATTTTACTCAAATGCAAAAATCATTAACGAAGAACATAATTCAATCCCATGGAATTTTCACTACCCATGAAATATTACTCTATAATATCTACTACAGAAAAATATAAATGCAGGTCATGAACACATTAATTAAAGCTTCCAAGCTTCCAGCATTTAGCTCAGTTTCAGTCTCATGTTATGTTCTATTATTTTACATCTGTCTCAAATATAGCATCATCTTGCTACTAGCTATTTTTGTAGTTCACCTGCGGACCAGGTACTCCCATCCAAACTCAGTTAATGTGCTTATGTGCATGCACACATTTATATCAGAATACATAAAAGAGGTTGACAAATGCACAAAACAGCAAATGGTTGATATGCATTGATACTCGAAAATACAAATGCCACAAACCAATTGCAAACTACTGTTTTTGCATGGGAAGAGAGACTTATTCTTGACATTAGAACTGGGTGATCATATGATAGTTCACATATAATAATGATATAAATCCCTACCTGTTAATGACAGCAATGACCAAAGAACCACGGAGATTATTAGCCAAGTGCAGAAGATCCAGAAGAAGGTCAAGTGTTCTGTCTGCTTCAATTTCCAGCATAGCTGGATTGAGAATTGAATTACCTCTGATCAAATGTAAGACATTAAATCTCCTTCCTTTTCCTGCTAATAACAATGCAACAGAATATTTAATTAGTTCCAAACAATAACATATTTGCACACGAGTTTTCCAGAAAGCATATCTTCACTAATTGTTACAAATGATAATAATCTATATGTGGGATCCTAAGAGAAAGAGACTGGTACCTTCAGTAAATAGTACTCCACCATCCTTCTCATCAGGCGAGAAATACAATATACAGGTTTCAATAAATTTTACAGCAAGCACCTTGATTCCAATTGATCCAGGCTACAACAAAAAAGAAGGGGAAAAAAACCAAGAAATATCAATCAACATAATTCACAAGATTGTAGTGTCACAAGTAGAAGAGAGAAGATATCGCAAGGACACATTTTACTATTACACAGTGGTGGGGGTTAGCTTGACAAGATAAATAGGAACTTTATGAGTATCAATCCCTAAAAGCTGTATTTTCTAGAGTATTAGCCAGTGTTATCAAATGCTACATGATATTCTTGATGTAGAGTAGAATGAATTAAGTTCAATAAAAGGCAGCTAGCTTTAAATGCCAGGATGTTAGTAAATAAGTAAACAACTACATCTAACTTTTACTAGTTAAGTTGTTAATTATGAGGGAAAAAATTGGTCAAACGTACAAGTCTGTTGATAGTTCATAAAAATCCTGCATGGGCTTCACAAAGCAAACCCTACCTCCATCAGAACCCCACAGACTGCCCCCTTGAACTGAACCATCCAAGACCACATTTCTTCAACCCAATGCTCAATTTTACTAGAACCATGGAGCTGCGATGTAGAAATGCAATGTTAATGTTAAAAAAGCCTTGGGAATAAACAAATTAATAAACTACATGAATTATCTCAAGTTGCAATAAAGCAGAAAAAAGGAGGTGAATGCTAGCAATGGCAGACCCCAGAAAATATCATAGGTAAATCAATAAGTCTTCAGAAATATAGGGAGATAAAATAACAGTTTCCATCATAAAAGATTTGAAATGATGTCAAATATTGTTCCTAAAGTTGATATGAAGGGCCTTCATTGAAATAAAAAGACATAGTTACTACAGGATGCACAAGAAAAAGGTGGCTACAACTATCATTAAAAGAATAAATGTATCCATCAGTACGAAATTTAAGGTGAATAGCATGATGTTGCATTAATAATAATGGGATCACAAGGTATCAGCAAGTACTGATACATATTTTTATCAATATATTCCGGCATGAACAAGCATCATTTCTATGCAATAGTACTCAACTTTCCTGATTTGATATTTTTGAACATACAACTATAGAGAGTCACATGAAAACCATGACAAAATAGAATTCTGAGAGTTTTCAATTCTTTTCCATAATATGCAAGGACTGAAAAAATATTTGTTGAGCTCAAGCTGGTCATAGGCCAGCAACATAAGTAGTCATATGTTGTTATTATGTGCTGGAGCAGCATGTGCCATACATTGTCAAGGCTTCCCCCAAGCCATATCAGATGCATGGAGATGCATATGTATACTACATAGTATGATATGCCCTCCAATTGACACGGTATAATTAGAGTACTTTTCCAATCATTTGATGTATCTTTTTCAATGATCAGTTTAGCCCAGCCCATTGAGATTTAACTTTTAAGGGCTTCAGTAGTCTCCAATCAAAAATTCAACAATTGCAACCAAAAAAGTCATGAAAAAGTGAAAAACTTCAGACATATACACAACACTCTAAAGAATACAAGTATGCTTCTAGAATAACAATATCCATCAGCTCACTGGCTTTAGACCAAAAACATGGAAAATGTGAATATCAATGTCAAGAAGTTACAGTAGTTGGCATTCTTTTATGGAGTCGTCTAAAAATTATCTCCAAAACAAGTTTTTCTTCATATAAAGGTTTCAGAAATTAAAAAAATAGAAATACAAACTTTTGGTACAAGAGAGAATTATATTGATAAAATTTATTCTGACATGATAGTAAATTGTTCATAATACTCCATCAAAGAATTTGATTAAGTTCGAAATTTTGAAACTTTTAAGGACTAGGCATCGATAGAATAATTAGTCTTGTCCATTCCTTATATTTAACACCTTTTCTATCTCATATATGCCTAAAGAGATAAACATGTATTGTAATGAATCTATCCTATAAACAAAATCAACTCAAAAACACCAAAGACAAGACCTTTAAAGTGGAATTGAAACCTTAAAATGATTAATTCCAATAGAAACTATTTGATTCCAGTACACAACACAAAATTAACCTACAACTGGTCCAACATTGCTGGAACTTCTGAGATTGACAAATATTACAATTATTGACAAAATTTGAATGAAATAGGCTAAAAAGGTCAGTTTCTGCAGAAGCTTAAAACTTTGGTGCCAGTATTCCACTGTCATGTTTTGTGTCTCATATTATTCTTGTCGGGTATCCATGGCAACAACTACACCAACTGTTTCTGCTTGATTAGATCATTTCTAGCCATTGAGCTCTAACAGGAACAGTATATTAGTTTATTTGAGTGCCTTGTTACATAACCTATCATTCATTAATCTAACTTGTGTTGTTAATGAACTATTCCAGAATAATAAACAAAGATATCTGGTAAAAAAAGAAATATTATGGTTAATTATAAGTTATCCCCTACATTTGTGCATTCCCCGCCAGTTAATAGATTTTTTTTCACAAATTGAAACAACTTTTCATGTCAGAATTATCAGGTTTCTGCAAAATAAAAATTCCTTGGTAACCCTCATCTAGAACGAACAGGATAGCAAGAGCAAGTTGCTCCATAGATATTGGACAATGCTTTTCAACAATAAGGAGAAAAGTCATAGATGAAGTCAGAAAGGCTACCATCTTATGGTAACATTCTGTAAATTAGTAAGGGCTTCAAAAAGTATCGCCTTCAACGGAAAAATAAACATTCATGAAGCTGAATTCAAACAGTTGAACAGCTTATCATGGCTGTGAACTTAAAAAAGACAATTATTGATAACATTTTTATAAGATTGCCTTTTATTAGCATGAAAGGGGACGTTGATGTAGCCCTACCAAAGAGCTAGAACCATGCAGTTTGTGCTAAAGTTAGGAAAACTGATAATCTTTTGGAAATTCTAAAAGCCCGGCTTTTCATTTTTTTCTGCAATTTCTGGCACAGCATTCATAGTATTAGAAAATGAAACATAAATAAATAAAACTTCAAAGTATAAACACAAAAATAGCTGACCCCAAATAATTAAGACTTACGGCTTTGTTGTTGTTATTGTTGTTCTTGTTGTTGTTGTTGTATAAGCACAAAATAGAACAGCAATAGAACTAGTCAAGGAAAATCCCAGATTGGTTCTTTGGTTATTGTTTGGTTCTTCTAAAATAAAAATAACCTCAAAAACTTTTACAGAGAAATAATCTCAACTGTCAGAAAAGTGAGAAACTACATTCGTATATATAATTTAACTGTGCTATGTCTGTATGCCTGACTCAAGAAGAGAAGGGTTTAATTCGAATCAAATCTACATAAAGCCTTTGTAAAGTGCTAATCAGTACCATACCACTTTAAATCGTTCTTCGATCTTGCAAAATTGAGGCTTAGCTATAACAAAAATACTTATAACATTCAACGAACACAGAGAAGAGAAACCAAAGGAAGTACAAGTATAAGAAGTGTTTTCTACAACTTGCCTGAAACTATATCTCCGGGATTGAATAGTTCTAATTTTAGATATTTAGGAATGTAAAATCTTAACAGTTTGTGTTTCAGAGTTTCATCCAAATGCAAAACTTGATATCAAGGTCATGAGAGTCAAGTAACTGCAAGCCACTAATTTCTGAACTGCAGGCACATTCAACTTATCATCAAGTATGAGACAATGATGTAGTAATTAGGATCACTCTCCCTCCTGCTCACTGTTTATTTTTAACAAACTTCTGATGCATGCAAGTAACTGCAGTCATGGCGCTGACATGAAAAGACAATGGGAAATAGTGGCACTAAGTTGGAACAAGCACAATAACTAAAGCAATAACATTCTGACCATAAAGCTTCATAAAATAGTGAGATATACCAATGATTGGGTAACTTGCTTTCCATTTCTGTAACTCGATGGACTAGCTGGATTTCTTGTTCCTTTTATTGTTGTCTTGTTATGTTTTATTAAAAGATTGCGATGAACAAAAGCATGAACAGGACCCAGCATGATAAGCTGAAGAGTCTGTTTGATTTTTGAAGGCATAAACAAGCGTTGGCCCTTCATTTAGCAGTGCAGCAACATATAGTCTGTTCACAGCCTAAAATGATTGGAAGATCAAAGAAAAATCAAATTGTATTATTAAGATTATCACATTGAAGTCACATGCATAGCATCATTCTGCAAGTAGTAGCTTTCTTGTAAATTGTTTAACTTGCATCGATGTTCTTTTCGTTTTTTATTTTCTGGGTGATGATCTGTGACTTTTCACCAATTAAAAGCATGAAATGGGAGAGAAAACCAAAATTTTATATGATTAACAAGATAAGTTTTGGTTTTATGGTAGCTCCTCAACTATTAGGACATAGGATGCATACAGAAAACTTTCTAACTAGAAATGTTTCGATAAATATGTTCAGCATAAGCCCTCTGATTTTTAAGTGCAAAATTGTCAGCATTCAACTTGATTACTATCCTTGCTCTTTAAAAACCAGAAAAGTTCCGAGACAAAATATCCTCATTTGATCATAACAAACACATTTTGGATGGATGAGGTAAATCAGAGAAGAACCATTGAACAACTACTAACAATCAATTTTATCGTGGCAACATCAAAGATAATTCAAATTTTACATGACCCATTTGATAAAATAATCTGGTAATAATATGATTGTTCTACAAATAGCACCTGGAGTGCAATTTCTTCTAAAACAGCACCAAATAAAGCTGTCCCATTAGCAATTGACTGCTTAACAACAAATGGATCTTGGTGTCTTAAAGCTGACAACAAGTTTGGCATCAACACAAGCAATTCTTCTGACACCTCAGAACCAAGATCCTTCAACAACCTGCCAAATGAAGCCAATCTTATAAGGCCTCATGACACAAAGAAAAATATAGCATAAGATTTCAGAGAGTAAATTGCTACTCATTAGAAACATCCAGGCAAATGGAAGGAAACAAGTTACATTAAAGTAGTTATTAGACAAATATTTTCTTGCTGCACAGAGCATACACTGATTGGCAGGAATTTTGATGCCTTTACTTTACATGCCAAAGGAACCACGATGATTTTCTCCATTAGCGATGGTTTCAATACCAAAAAAAAAAACAACTATTTGGCCTCCTAGATATTATGAAAAAAAATCCTGTACATGGTACAACCTTGCAAAATTAATTCCAGGGTCTAAGCCAATATGAGAAACAAAGGAAATAATACTCTGACTTCATAAAATGCATGGCACGACGGCTTTGTTAAGTTAGATTAAGGTTTGAATATATCTGAGCATACGGCAGCCCATTGCAAAAGCTATTCCCATAACTTCAACCCTTGAAAAAATTGTTGCAAGGGGCAACCTTACCTCGACATCATGGATGACCCTTAAAAGTAACTGTATATCTTTTGACATTACTTTGGACATATATAAACACTTGCCAAAACTGAACACGTCTCAATCAAAATATAGACTATTATAACATAATAAGGCTTGTCAAAAGCCTTATGCGATATCCTGTTCAAGGACCAAGTAAAGAATCACAACTAAATCAAGTAAAAGTGACATCCGCTTATTGCCAAAGCCTAGAGGTGTCATCTCGAGTCACATAAGAAAAAGATTATATAAACCAATGATTAAATTTAATTGGAAGTTTTCAACGTTATATTAGGGCAAATTTAAATTGTCATGGGTTCAGCAGCTGAAAACGAAAACCAACATCAAAAACCTAATACATAAGAATCAAAATTTCCAACATGAAAAAGGGTTTCGAACCACAATTCTTGAAATTATTTCACCGATATAGTTCCAACCAGCGATAAACAATACCATTTATTACAGACCACAAGTTGAACAAGGACAGGAACAAGAAAGCTGCAGACAATCTTACTCGAGAACTCGGAGAGAATCTCTGGAAACCCCAACGGCAGACTCGGGCGGGGCACTCATGGGCACCGCCACCTGCGCTGGAGCCCTGAAACCGTCTTCCGCCTCCGGCAACCCGTCCTCGGGGGCCATCGGGGACAAGCCAAACCCTAGAGCGAGCGGTTCTGGCGACGGCACCAAGGGGTGGTACGCTGCCGCTGCGGAGGCCGCCGTCTAGGGTTTAGCCCGCGTCAATCGAGGTTCAGGGGTTTCTTTTTCCCCGGAGAGGCGGAGGAGGAGATCACGTGTCGGGGGGCGTGCGGCGGGACGTAGTGAGGAAGAAGGGGGAGAAAGGAGAACGCGAACGACGGACGGAGGGCGACGAGTCTCTTTAAATAAAGAGAGCGGAAGGATTAGACTCGATATATAATATAATGTAATACCACACATACCGTACACATACGCTCGACGTATAGACGCTTAGTATTCACATACACGCAAATGGGGCTTTTACGTATATCGCTTCAAAGTTCATAAATAGGTCATTTTCTCTTCCCAATTTAAATATAGTATACAACCCTTCAAATGATTTAATGTTACATGTATATCCATTTATTAGCTCAAGTTAAATATTGTTAATTTTGCTATTAGTATGTTCTAAAATATGGTGAATTCTCGAAAACAAATCTCATTTTCTATATTTTTCAAGGGAAGTGTCTTAATTTTCAGAATTTTCTATCAGCACTCCCCTTTTTTATCTAAAATAATTTGTATATGTTATAATCATTTAAAGGTATATATATCTTGATATCCATATTCTAGAAATATAATATATGACACACTAATGTTATCATTTTTTAAAGTTGAAATATAAGCTTTTAAAAAAATTATTTAGGAAGTCTTTCCGAGTATTATTTAAAATATATATAAGCATTGATACTTATTTTAAGTATATTTTATAATGAAAAGGTACGATGTTTCGACATAATAAATACGAATATACTAGCAGACTTGAGTACGAGGTTAAATCATATCAATAAACATTCAAATGATGATTGAAAAATAATAAGTTATTATGCATAGATAGAGTAATAGATAATTAAATAGAAATATAAATCAAATATATGTGTTATACTAAAAATATTAGATACATAAGATTGATGGATAGATTTATATTCAACCATGTCATCTTTGAAAGCATATTTTTAGTAAGATGAATTTTATGAATTATGTAAATATAAGTTTAATTTACTTTAAAATAATTATCATATATAGCATGTGAAGTAAAATATATTTTTAAAAGTATATTTTAAATAAGATGAATGTCATTAATTAGCTATAAATATGACATTAATGTATGCTTCTTATTAAAAGAAACATTCATATATATATATATTTATTTATTTATTTATTTATTTATTTATTTATTTTATTTATTTATTTATTTATATATTATGTGGAAGTAAATTAACATGTTTACTTATAATTCATTCGAGAGTATATGTAGATGTATGACAATGCATGTACATGTTATAACATACGATATGGGAATGTATGAATATATTTATATACAATGTGAAATGTGAGAGTGCATGTGCATGTTATAACATATTATGATATACGGTGTGAAAGTACATTGATATATTATAATGTGAGGTTTGAAAGTGAATGCATATGTTATGACGTACGATATGAGAGTATTGATATATCTTATGACATGTAATATGAAAAAAAAAAAAACATATATATATTTTATATAATGTGTTGTTACAAACATAGTTGGTCATACCTAGTTTATGCAGTATCCTTGTATCCTTGTGTATCCATCTACAAATGGTTAGTCTTCCTGAAATCTTTTAAAGATCCACAAAAGAGAAGACAAGCTAAATAAAGTGTTTTAAATCATGATTCCATAAATAGATATTTCGATGAACATTTGATAAGTAGTGCAAATTACAAATATAAACTTTGCAAACTTTGAACAATCATACTATAAAGGGTCCGAGGTGGTCCACCATAACTAAGAGTCCCCACAAGTGCTCACATAACACTACTACGGAACAAGACAACGAACTAGCCCTAAACACTACTACAAATGTCTATCTAATCATATGCCACCTAGTAACTCCATGGTACCGTGTTGAGTAACACTACACTCATATATGGAGTTAGAAAATATTCAAAATAACTACTTAGTTGACTTATTTTTTGATATTTTTTGTCTCCACATGATAATTGCACATAATATATGTCTATAGGACCAAAATAGCCATAAAAGTTGATAAAAATAATCATAAAAGTCAATTAAAATCGGGCTATTAAGCATATTATAAGCTTTTTATATATTATGTAAAGCATGAATAAAATTGAAAGACATTAATATATATGATATTCTCTCTCATTTATTCTTTTGATGTCATTGTGAATGTTGTCTCTCATCACATTTATTGAATTTTCAATGCCTCTCGACTCCTAATTATTCTCTATGGTTGTTATTGAACTTGTTAATGAATTTGACTTTGATACGGCTTTACATAATTTTTTATTATTTATTGTAAGTTTGTAATTTTCTTTTATGTTGATGCATTGATGTGCAAAAAGGAAAGGAAAAACTCATGCATAAACTATCTTTTTATGGATTCTTATGGTAAAGAAGATTTGACCGTTCAGTATAATGTTGGGATGACTTCTCCTCTCTAAGCCCAATATGTTGCTCTGACTCAAGAAACCACTAAAGTCGTATTAAAAATATCGAGATGAAGCTCTTGATATCCGATATTCTAATGCGAAGCTAAAGTGAAGCTTGCAAACTCTTAATGATTTTTGTACTTTTTTATGTACATATAGTAAAAGATCAAGTATTTAGACTTGATCTCTCTGATGCCTAAATCACTGATCAAGTAGTGAGTGTACATAAATAAGAGAGAAAAGAACTTGATAGTTATAGTTGAATGTTCTTAATTATTTATCATCAATAATTATTTTGAATCAAGGATGATTTATATAATATTTTTCATTTTTATCATGTTAGTGTCAAGTTGAAAAATGATGATTTTATGAAAATGTTGATAAGTTGAGAAATTATGATTATACCTTTCTCACTCTTACTACACTAAAGAAATTTTGTCATACAATAATGCCAAATAAAATAGTTTATTCAGTTACTCCACCATGAAAATTTTGATATATATATATATATATTTATTTATTTATTTGGATGCATGGATTTGTTTATAGGTTGAGATAAACGTTTTTCAACTATTGAGCGTATTTTGATCATATTTTTAAATTTAATTTTTTACTATCTTTTTAAATATCAATTGATATTTAAACTGGTCTATATATTTGAGATAAACCCACCCATTTCCAAAGCAAAACCTTATTTGCCAATTTACATAAACTTTGTTAAAGTAAATCTTGGATGGCCAAATCTAATATAAGAAATATATATGTCGAGACATTCGATTGGTTAGTGTATTATCACACAAATAATATGTCTTGGAGCTTCATAATATGCCATTTAATATAATAATTATTTTTCTTAATTTTTATAATGATATTGAGATTTTTTTACATATATAAGTCATTGATTTGTTTGATTATAATTTGTCAAAATTTCTAATAGCTAAATTAGTTGGCAATACTACCACATATCTTAGCTCATACTAATATTTTAAGTCTTGTTGAGTAATTATGATATTTGAATATTTATTATATATTTGTATTGTTAGTTTTGCTAATGAAATTATTTGGTTAATTATTAATTAAAATTTAGGAAGTTATTGATGGTTTCTAAAGTCAATGTTACTTATGTAATTTCCCTCTCACCCAGCTTTGGGCTGATTAAAATCGATCCGGTCCGAGACATGGACCGGTTTGTGATGTAATTTAGTGAAGTCGGTTCGGTTCGCGATATGGACCGGCTCGTATGCAGTTCACCTTTCTCCCATCCTTGACCTGATTAAAGTCGGTCCGGTTCGCAATATGGACCGGTTCTTGATGTCTATTACTACTCATCCAACGCTTGCCTACGAAGTCGAAACCCTTCTCGAGCTTCTAAATCCCCGTATGTTTTGATTCAGTTCGTCGACGCTCTCCGTCGTCTCGAGATGGCGACCAAAGTCCTAATGGTTAGCATTTCACCTTGAGAATATCCCGTTCCACATCGATCTCCGATCTCCATGCCTAACCTCGCCCTGCTTTGTCGCAGGTAGCGGAGAAGCCCAGCATCTCTCTCTCCATCGCCACAGCTCTTTCTGGTGGCCGGGTGAGTCATTGCTTTCGTTTGGATTCTAAATTTGTGATCTAATCTCGTTTAGGTCTGAATATTTGCCTGTGAATTTGATTCTGGTAGTTCACGTATAATCATTCAATGATTTGCTCTGATTCTGCTGCGGATTCGCTACGGGTTGATGTTGCTACGGATTCACTAGAAATTTGTGTTTCATGCTGCAGATGTCTACAAGAAGGGGTAGTACTGATGTTCATGAGTTCGACGGACAGTTTCGTGGCTATCATGTACGCTACAAAGTGACATCTGTTATTGGACACGTCTTTAGGTTAACCGTCCCTTTTCCTCAAATTTTATCAATACTTCTGCGACATCATCCTTATCGTCTTATTATTATTGTTCTTTTGTATTCTTTTCATGCTAGCATTTCTAGTCTCAATAATTTCACATGGCATTGCAACTTGATGCGTATTTGGTGACTATATGTATTATTTGTCTTTTGCTCTTTATCTGTATATTGTCTGACACTCTTAACATTTATGTTCTCTTGTTACATGTTATGATACTTGGTGAATTTTCCATGTGATTGATGTTGGTTAGTCAGTTGGAGTGAATCATTTACTTGTCTACTAGTATTCCTTTTCTATTTGGGTTGACTTATGAAGCATCTAGCTTGACCTTCACAATTAACTCCCGAGGTACCTATGGTTGTAATTGCAGAAGGTTTTTGTCCTTTATCCTTTGAGCAAGAATCTGTATTTCTTATCGTTAATGTATGCCTTTGAACTTACCCCTTGAGTTGTCCTATTGTGAGCTTATGCATATTGATGATGGCATGGTTCATCTTTGTTGGGTTTGGTTAAGGACATAATTTTTTTATAAATATTTTTCCTGTAAAACACTAAAGCAAAATTTTCTCTTTTCCTATAACTTCAAAATTGTAGAAGTGAAGGTTTAAGGGAGGGGTGGGAAGAAGAGTGGGGGGTGGAGGGTGGGGAATAGGAGTTGGGTAAAAACACTGATAATCGGATGAAGACAGTAGAATGTGAGAAAATGGATGTTATTGGTAGTGACCAATAATTGTTTAAGATAAGGAGATTAGATAATCAAAGGGTTGGTGGAAAATTATATCCAGAAAGTGTGGATTTTTCTTGGTGTTGGAGGTGATAAGTAAAAATTATGCGTAGGAAGCATGACTATTAGTGAAGGTCATGAGAGGTGTGGCGAAGTAGTAGAGATAATTAAGAGGAAGATTTAGTTAAGGAGATAAAAATTGATGTCAAAAGGAGGTAGTGGAAAGAGTAAAAGGAGGAGACTTAAGGGAAGGTGGAAAAGACAAAGGGGATTTCTGATGATAAATAATGGTAGTCAAAAGGATGGAAGAATAAATGAGAATATGTTGATGTAGTTTTTTCTTATAATTGTATATTTGAAAGGGGTATACTGGTCATTTCAAAATAAGATAATTGGATTAATATGGTGGAAAAGCAATTGTTGCTAGATGGTATAAAATGGGTAGTCTAGTGTGGCATCTGAAAAGGGCTATTGTAGGCAACATTACTTTGGCAAGCATAGAGACTATATCTGTGACTCAAACCTTGACATTAAGTTTATAGAGGAGCAGTCTTGCTATGGTGCCAAGACTCACCTTTTGGTAATGTCTGCTTTAGTAAAGGTATATGCCATTTTGTTTATTTAAAGATTATATTCACATAAATATCGTAGTATAAAGAAAATAAGAAATTACTAACTGCTAGGTGCCTTTTGAAGTATAACTAAAAATCATCAAAGATTATATTAATTTATGTGCTCTGTGCATGATTTGCAGCTTAGACTTTCCATCTTCATATCAGAACTGGGAGGTGACTGATCCAATGGATCTTTTTCATGCTCCAGTTTTGAAGTCAGAATCCAACCCAAAGGTATTGTTTCTTTGTACCCCACTAAAGTTTAATTATATGAATTTTTTTGATATTCTTTTTCTTCATCATATGTTTATTCTTTTAGTTCTGAATATATGCATTCAATTCTAATGGCAGATGTTACTTTTCATTGTCTTCCTGTATGCTTGCAGTCAGTAATAGAAAATTGAACTTTTAGTTTCTAGGATGTAGACACCTAAGCTTTTTTGATGAATAAAAATTCACTTAAAAAAAGACAGCTTTGAACAGTTATTTCTATTTAGAATTCAAGCACTTTTTTCTTGCTTATTTGGTTATTTCTGCAAATTTATTGTTGAAAAATTAAGTCAAAGGCTTTTAGAAAAGTCTTACAATCACTAATGTCCACTGAAGAAGGAAGAGCATGTTATTTTTGTGTTTAACATATGGAAAAGAAACAAACACATTATGCCAATTCAGTATTTTTAGCTTTTCCGGTGTCTTAAGGCTTAATAACTGCTGAATATGCAGTTTGATATTGGATAGAGAAATCATTCTGCTGTTGACATCATATTGCCATCGTCAATACTTTCCACAGTATTGTATGCATCTGGGTCTAGTTGCACAATCATGCTTATGACGTCCCAGATTTTGCTTGTCTAATCCTATAAGTATGTTTCCTTTGGTAGTTCATGTTTGTCATTGATGTATTAACATAAGCATACATCATGTGTATGCAAAATTGGTGATTGGACTCCTTTTTTAGGCACATATTCGTAGGCATCTGTACCATGAAGCTCAAGGTTGTACCTACTTGGTACTATGGTTGGATTGTGACCGTGAAGGTGAAAATATATGCTATGAAGGTAAACTTTTCATTCTATGTTTGAAAAAGACTGGTCCTCTTTTAGTTTTATGAAAATTTTGTATTGTATATATGTGGCTTTTAGTGCTCTGGCAGCTGAAAGAGTATGCTAATTTATTCAAAGATCGAACTTTTGCGGGAACAATACCGACGACTGCTGGCATTGCAGGATTTCTGCTCGCTAGCACTATTAGTAAACTTCAAAAGGATTCTTTCGACAAGGTTTCATATACCAGTTATTCTGATGCAGATTGACTGGAATTTATAGGCCCAACAAAGGACCAGTACCGGACCATTTGGTCTTATACCTGTCAGTAATATTGCTTATTGCTTCCTTTGGATGGTGCTGGGATGTACGGGTCAGTATAGCATTCGGTACATCGGTACCATATTGGTCTCATAGATCACCAAGACCATCATTGGTCCTAAACTTAAAACCTTGATTTTCAAAATCATAATTTAAAATAGTTTAAACTTTAAAAAACAGATTATGCTAAATTTGGTTTTGTTGCCTTTGATGCGGTGATTAAGCATTTTGTATTAAAATCACATGAAAGTTCTTTTGTTTTTTAAGGTAAATATTAATGAAATGTATCATATTGACAGGCACATGCACGTGTGTGTTTGAGAAAATAATTTTATATACTTGGCAATCCATCTTTACATTTTAACAACCTTGATTTATGATGAGATTATTTTTTCTTTTTGCTGTATTTGAGGATCAGATTGTGATTCAATTTGCAGTATGCTTAATTGATTATCCTTAGGATCACAATAAAATGTCTCTTTAAGGTTCATCGTATCGTAGCATTCTGCTTGGTATAAGCGGTATATACTGATCCGATAAGAGATCAACATGAGTGGTATATGCCGGTCTGTCAATATGTCCCACCATACCATGTGTCGGTACGTTGGTATATATCATACCGACAGTTGGTCGGTACATCGGTACAAACTGATAAGGTGAACAAACTCTCTTGTCTTGTAGTGAAGTTGTCATGGAATCAAGAGTTTCTTGTTGCCATAGTTAACTAACCTTTCCAACCTTAGCACATTTTCAAAATTATACAAATGGATTCATATAAGAGTATTTTGCAAACCATAATCTCAAATAGGGTTTGCCAAATCAGGTACCGAAGTCAACTCAAAGATTCATCGGGCTGGTACGTACTGGTGTATTGACCTATAGTACATCGGTAAGTACCGGTGTTATGGATAGGAAGAAAGAGGGAAGAAGAGGAAGTGGCAGAGGAGGAGGAGGAAGAGGAGAAAGACTTACCTGAGATGTGGTGGTGTGCAGTGAGGTTGTGATCAGACTCCTGTCCGGTAGGTGTCTACATGAGAAGTAGCAAGATCTTCAATTTCGAATAATATCGCTCGTACCGGTCCGCCAACAGACCGGTACACGGATTGGCCGCTACCAGGCAATATTATATTATATATATATATATATATATATATATCGGCGATGTCGCCCCACTTGGGGAGAAGAGAGGCGACGTCGCCAACTTTTTTTACTTTATATATATATATGTGTGTGTATATATATATATATGTGTGTGTATATATATATATATATGTGTGTATATATATATATATATATATATGTATGTATGTATGTATACCGAGCAATATACTGCTCGGTATACAGTACCATACTTTACCGAGCGAATCTCGAAACTTTGGTATGGTATGATATTTCAATATACAATAGGACATATATTTCAATATATCGCAAGTAATACAATATATTTCAATATACGGTATTATCAGACTTCTTAGATGTGCCAAGTCATCAATATACAACATGAATAAATTCTGCAACTATTATAATAAGATGTAAGAAATAATCATACATTATGGATAATAACATTAGGAGTGAAACAGAACAAAGTGACTTGTAGACAACAGAAAACAACATGATGAGTAGATTAACATCTAATGCTAATACAGATGTTGGTTCGTAATCGGTACTAGTCCTTTTATTTATTGTCACCTGGTCACACCGTTATTGAATTTGGCTACACAAATAGGACCCCCCTGATTTATTTTTCTGAATTTTTTTTCGGATGCAAGGAATCATTTGACATCCATCTTACATAGATTGTGGTACACTGACCAACACAACAGAAACACTTCCCTTTTACAAATGTAGGAACCATCTATAACTGTGCTGTACATGAAAGTAAATTTCTGTAGGTTCTCACCTTCTTTATTGGACATGCTATGTCTGCATGAATATATAACAGCAGTTAGTTTACAAGCCCTTTACAGTAAATTTATATTGCCTGTAGTTTGTATTGGACTAAGACTCTTAAGGTTGGAATCTGAGTCAGTTTAAACTCTGTTGGTTAAGATCTTCAAAACTTTGCTCATTCCTATAGTCAATGTTTCATCTCCTAGTTAAAGTCCTAGAGGACAGCAATTTCTGGAGAAAGCTGGTTGGTCACTGGACCAGAGTTCTAGTAAGGTGTCAACATGCAGATTGTCATGTAAAGGAGATAAAAACTGAATAAATGTTTAACACCTATGGCTCAATATAATCCTAGCCCTAAACTGTTCCTGATCTGCACCAGTATGTTCTGTAAAGAGACATATCTCAGTCCAAGTCATTTTTCAGACACTCAAATCTCATTTGTTAGGTACTGTCCGAAGGCCACTTATAATAAGAAGTGCTTTATGGTATTATCTTATTATGTCATGATTATGAGCATTTTTTTGGAATAAGACAGTCACATGTTGATCGTTGATCATTATGTATCTGACTTAAATTTTAGTCACATGTTAATGCGCTCAAAGTCAAGTCATATTTTATGGTGCCTCTTGCGGATGCCCTCAATTCTATTCAGTAAGTGAAGTAAGGAAGGAAAGCAGGTTTTGCAAGAACAAGCAAAATTCATGGTCCAAGCATTAAGATGTAGGGCCTTTCAGACATCTCATTTCATTTAGACAGGTCCTTGGGTAGGTTGATCATTGATGATGATTACAGGCGCCTGGAGGAGAGGCTTTCAAGAGTAGTGGTCCAAGTTAGTCAGCTATTACTCAGGGAATATGAATACATATAAGTGCTCTAGACTCACTTCCATCTTTAAAGTTCCAACTTTTAAAATGGTCCTCTTTGGTCTCTATGGTGTGCATTCTCATTTCTCATTTGCCTGTCCATTATAGAACTACTTTTATTGGTAGATGTATTTTATGTTGAATAAGAATTTATTTTTGACGTTCTATTTGCAAATTGGAACTGCGATTGGTATTCTTGGCACTTGAACAATGAGCCTACAAATATTTTGTCTTTGCCCAATTGCTGAATCTTTCAAGAACAATTTATCTTTCTGTTTTCTTCATGAACTTATGTCTATTATTGAATACATTTGTTCTGAAGTGCCTTTTTTATTGGATATATGGTGCTTTTTTGTGATAGTTTGTGCTATTAGCATCTCAAAAATGGCTTGACTCCTTTTATTGGATGGTCAGTAAAGATAAAACGTAACTTGAATTTACATTTCAGTTATTGAGTGTACCGGAATACATGAAACTGGTCCTGGAAGGATAATCTACCGTGCTCGATTTTCATCTGTTACCGAGAAGGATATATTTAATGCTATGGAAAACCTTGTTGGACCAAATAAAGATGAAGCATTAGCTGTAGACGCACGCCAAGAAATAGATTTGAAGGTAGGAGTGGCATTTACTCGATTCCAGACTCGCTATTTTCAAGGAAAATATGGAAACCTTGATTCAAGAGTCATTTCGTGAGTTCTTGTCTCCTCTCACTTTTTGACATGTATCTTCATTTTATAATTCATGTAATAATTATCTGAAATATTAAGCTTGCTGTTAAGTATATGATTATATGTCCATTTCTTTCAAAGTCAGTTCACTATGTTTCATATATTCTTTCTAGATCTGTTTGGGCCACTTTGGGCTTGTCCAGTTTGGTAAGTGGCTTTACGGGCAATGATGTTGGCATTGATATGTATCCCTAGGAGACAACGGCACAAATGAAAAGTAGGAGGTTGCGGCAATATGGATGAGTAAGAAGAGGGAGCAAAGGAGGAAGAGAGAGGGAGAGGTATTTACAGAAAGAAAGAAAGGGAGAAGAATAAAGAGAAAAAAAAAGCTATTGACAGCTATCAGCATTTAGTAAAAAAGGATATTGATACCAGACGATTGGCTTGTTGCTTGGTATGGCTCAGTATTAGTCTGCTTATCGCCAGTACAGGGAATTTACCAGAAGATGAGTTCAATTTGGTCTGAACCAAACTTATTTGCCTGGTCCACATACAGGTTTGTTATTAGACTGGTAAATACTGGTATGTACAGATTGGTACCATGGAGATTTGTATCTATGGTTGTAACTTGTAAGCAGGGGTTTAAGTTCTGGTTTATGTTGGCCCATGTTGAACCCATTAAAGTTCCAGAAGAAGCTACATTGTCTCTTTGATAAATTGATATTCTGTTGAACCAGCCCTCATGAATCTCATTTCATTTCTTTTGGCTCTTGGCTGTGAGCTAGAGAGTAAGCAGGAGAGGATATACTGTTCTTTGCCACTGTTTGGTACTGGATCATATAGGTTAGTGCTGGTTAATATTCAGCTTTTTTTCCCGGTGTTACCAAACAGTAAAGGTTGGTATACCGGTATGGTTTGATTGGTTACCAGAACCACTATGAGATGCTACGTGATCAAGTTAGATCCTTGCATAAAATAACATTAGAAGTTAGAAGTCAGAACTACCAGTTCTGTTACCCTAGTTCATATCATGATCACCTTGCTCTCTTTCCTTGGATACTTAAAGCATTATCCACCATGAACATCTTGACTTTTTAGCAGCACAAATCTGTAAAGAATTGTCTGCAAATTGAAGTATTAACCAGTCTGAAGAATTGGAGACACTTCCACACCTCTCATAAGGCCAGCTTCCATCAATAATTAGGAATCCTGGTTAGTGAATCAACTGTTAAAACAAAGTGAATAGGCAACAAGAGATCTTCTTGAGAGAACCTCTGTTTCGAACAGACCACCTTCCTATTATACCATGAAGAATAATTTTAAATCCGGTAGAAGTTATGCAAACTGTCATCCAGATAATTCATTTTGCTCCAAAGCCCCTAGCTTCAGGAAGAGAGAGGATGAAGTTTCATTTTGAGATTGCACAGTAAAGTCATTCCAGAGTCAGCTGCTAGTTTTTAGGCTTTATGTGATTTAAGAACTTTTGATTTTTCCATGTGATTGTTAAAGTGAGAGTTAACTCAAAATATTTTCTTTCCTCCTGATTATTGCCTCGCAGTTCTTCTATAGGGACTTATAGTCCTACAATTTGAGGAAAGATTAAAGGATTTCCTAATTTACCTTCCAAATTAATTTTTTGATAATTTGGTTTATTGTTTGTCCAATTAAAGCACAAATGGTAATGGACATACTTTATGGAGAGCCCCTTGCTCCTGCCTTGAGAAATTGACTTCTCCTCTCTTCCCCTCTCTCTCTCTCTCTCTCTCTCTCTCCATTTTTCATGGATTTGTTTCATATCTTTACCACTCTGGTTTGTGCATCATCTTCCTCCATGATCATACTAGAAAGAGGTTCTTATATGAGCTGCTCCTTTGTAAGCTTCTAAGGGCAAAACGCTTGCTATTGTATTATTTTTTATTGCAATATATATTTCTTGCAGAAGTCGTAGCAGCATAATTTTGAATTTCTGATTGGTTCCCTCTCTCTCTCTCTCTCTCTCTTGGTGTAACAAAGTGCAGTATAATATTATTTTTTTATGGTTGGAAAACATAATCTTTTTGCACATCGACATCTTGACAATCTTGTTATCTGTTCTTTCTCTTTGTTTCAGCTATGGTCCTTGTCAAACCCCTACTCTTGGTTTTTGTGTGCAACGGTACATGCAAATTACCACATTTAAACCAGAAAAGTTTTGGTACTTAAGTCCTTACGTAATTAAAGATGGTTATGAGCTGCAGATGGATTGGGATCGCAACAAAGTATTCGATTTTAATGTGAGATTCTCTGATTTTGGTGCATCTTTGTAGGATGGTTTGCCTCCTAACTTGAATATTTTGCTTCATCCTTTCTATTGCAGGTTGCTGTTATGTTCCAGAAGTTGGTAGCTAATGATGGTACCCTGAAAGTAACAGATATATCAACAAAAGAAGAGTCCAAATCTCGCCCTTGTGGCCTTAATACAGTTAATATGTTGAAGGTAATGATTATCAACCTTATTTCGTTTTAACCAAGATAATTAAATTTCCCAATAATTTACGTTTCAGTTCTTTAGGATTGGAGCTCCATTATTGCTCTATTCTTAATTTAGCCTTTTGTGGATGGTGTGTGAAACATTTTACAGTCTTGGTTAGTTCTTGAATCCTTGCACATTCAAGTTCTCTTTGCCCAAGTTTTGTGTATACTTGATTGGCCAACTTTAATGTGCCTCACAGAAATTTGATTTTTTTCTCTAGCTAATTTAACAAGCTTGGCAAGCACAAATTTAGTTGGTTGAACTATCCTATTAGTGCTTATATGTATTTTGTTTTCGTGACTCTTGCCTCTATTGTCAATGGCAAAGGCTCTTGAAGCTTTAATGTATGATGATGTTAGAACCCTTGCAGATTCTAAACTTGGGGTTGATCTCTTTAGGGGATCGGCCTCCTTGGAACTCTATAGGGGTTCCTCCCTCCAAGTTGCTGCTCAAAGGCTGCAGAAAAGATTCATCTATTGCTTATCAAAAGAGAAGGAATACATGGCTATTTATAGGGCTTCTAAACCCTAACTCCTAATAGGACTCCTACTTAAGACTCCTACTTCTAACCAACTCCTAGTAGGACTCATAGTCAAGACTCCTATTCCCTTACAACTCCTAATTCTTCTCTAAGAAAACACCTCCTACTTGAATGCCCCTCTCAATTAGGACTCTCCTAGCTAGAGTCCTAACAGAATGTCCCTCTCAATTAGGACTCTCCTAGCTAGAGCCCTAACAGTTTTGCATGAATGTCCCTCTCAATTAGGACTCTCCAAGCTAGAGTCCTAACAGATGATTTCAGCTTTTATCAAACTTACAAACAAATTCATGTAAATGTATCTATTTATACATGAGCAGGTGATGCTACTTGCAATTACTGCCACCTACCTGAATCTTTTTCTTCTATTGAGCTTTGTCGAGGGAAATATCACCTAGCCTTATGGTGTCATTGGTAGAGATCTATGTTTATGAAAGATCCAATAAAGTTTGTTTTGGTGGTCAGCTATTTAATGCAAACCTTTGGGCTTTGGATCAGCTGTGAAAAAAGATTTGACAATATTCATGGACTATATGATGTGTTAGCACATGTAGTTGATTTCATTTAATTCTAGGTTATCATATATTAATCTTTTAGATGGTTACAAATTAGAAGGTTAAGTGATTCATTTTGAACTTAACAAATCTTGACTACTCAAAGTAGTGGGCTAGACCACACAAGATTGACCAACTTATAATTCCTTTAATACTGAAGTAACAAGGAATATTATATTTGATTTTAAGTTGAACAAATTGCTAATTACATAACTTCGGTTCTAATCCTGTCAGGTGAATAACCAGCTCATTAGCTAGCCTCTATCCTAAACCTTATGTTATTGGATTCACTGACATTCAACCTTTAAAAAGGTTGAGGTATCTAAGTCTCAACTATCAGAGCACAATAAACAACAAATGGGCACATGTTTTGTATTGTCTGTACATAAATCAAATAAATTATAACGATAATCATGTAATAGAATTAGTTTGTATTATTTTTGTTGCAGACAACCACTTGGGGTAGGCAGTAGATAAATTTCAAGACACCCTGGTTGTTCTTGCTAGGACATGCTATCTATAAATATATATGGCCATATATATTTGTACTGGATTCAAATATGTATATTTATACATGAAACGACATAAATTATATTGCCCAAATTAAGACGATAGTGTTGTATATCATATTTCTATTATCTCTTTCTTGGTCAAGTTGATTTTATAATAGTCTTCATTCTTCAAAATGTTTTTGGTGTTGTTGGTGAACAAATGCACCGTTGCTGGTGAGTCAGCACGGCCAGGTCCACGGGTCGATGTCGGTTGTCTACGATCGGTCGAACGGGTTGTCGAGGTTGATCACACCCGCGGGTCGGGATGCCGCGTCCGTCCGAGGAGGGCGCCTCTCGGTTTGGATGTCGGTATCGTCTTGGGGAGGGCGTCTCTCGGTCGGGGTGGTCGCGCTTTCGGGGATGACCGCGCTCCTGCACAGAAGGCCCTCGTCGGGAGGTTGGAGCACGGGCACGAATCCGATCGTACCCCTAGTAGTTGGACTCAGCCCCGCATCAACCAACCACTCCTCGGTCATCCCCCTGATGGCCCGAGAAGAGGACATGATCCCCCTCAGTTGCTCCACGCGCTCGGCCTCTTCGTGCGAAAGAAAAGGAGGAACGCTGTTGATCGCTCGGGAGGTCCACCCAACACAAAACTCCCACCCCCGACTACAACTCACAAAGAAGTATCGGGCCTTCCACCCCTTGTTGTTGGAAGGAGCCCCACTAATTCTAAACCCACTTCGTGCAGTTAGATAATACCCGCCTCGCCCGTTGCATAGGTAGAAACATGCCAAAAAGAGGGTTCGGGTCGGTTCGATCCCCGCCCCTCGACATTCCCCTAAGAAAACCACCAGATAGCGCCAGGAGTTCGACGCCATCTGGGACGGGGAAATCCCCCACTAGCGGAGGCATTCGCGGACAACTGGCTGTAGCCAAAAACGCAGTCTTGCCTCCAAGGCATCCATGGTCAGCACGAATCCATTGGGAAACGGATCATAAGGGCGCTGACCCGGACGCGGAGCATGGAGCTCGTAATCCTCCGGGATGCTGTAACAATCCCGGATCAGACCTAACAGGCTCTCGGGCACTACCAAATCTACGTCGTGCCACAACCTAATCACCTGCAGGGCCGTAAAACCCTTCGAATCCGCCGGGGACGAGCCAGCCGACGGGGAACTAATTACTTCCACCCTACAACTACCGGAACCCGAACTGCTAATCTCGGAAACCGATCGACTAGAAGAGGGGGGAGAAGAAGACGAAGACATCCCAACCTCGAAACAGTGAGCAGCGAGCCAAGTCGTAAGCAGAGAAAACCGTAGCGGAGCAGTGCCACCCCCCTCCACAGCCAAGGGTTTATAAAGAAGCTCGCCGCCCCCAAGCTGACATTTGGGCTCCCCGAGGAGAAAAATAAGAGAGAACCAAGCACTAACTTAATCGTCGAGGGGCCAAAGTCGGGAACCACCCGACGAGGGCCTTCTGTGCAAGAGCATGGTCATCCCCGGAAGCGCGACCACCCGACCGAGAGACGCCCTCCCGAAGACGATACCAGCATCCAAACCGAGAGGCGCCCTCCTCGGACGGACGCGACATCTCGACCCACGGGTGTGATCAACCTCGACGACCCGTTCGACCGATCGTAGACTCCCGACATCGACCCGTGGACCTGGCCGTGTTGACTCATCAGCCACGGTGCATTTGTTCACCAACAGGTGTCAATGCTACTATTAATTGTTATAATAGTCTAAGAGTATTTAAACGATAATTTTCACATAAAAACTTTGGAACCTCCTTAAATCACAACAAATATATAGCTTAAACAAAGATTCATGAAATGACTCAGTGCTGAGTTTGTTGCTAGGGCTTCAACAAAGATGGTAGCCCAGACTTTAGTATGTGTCCGTTGTTCTAGGTCTCCCAGGCTGCCAGGCTATTTGTCAACTATGGTATTAAGTAATAGTTCTATGAGATAGATAATCAACCATGGAGTCTGTAGGCATACATCAAATGACATCAAGAATGATTTGATGATGCAAAACTGAACATGCGTGTATAGAGGACTAGCAAATCAGATTAATATCGTTGAAGGATCTAAGATACTATTAAACTCACTAGTGAGGATAGCAACATGACACCAGAGTTAACTTTTGTCTCAAGATAAGAAGATTTCTTGTGAAAACCATGACTCAAAATAGTTATTCACTGTCCTTATTTCTGTATCCATGAAAGAAATAATAAAACATGCATATATAGTATCTACTGTTGCTACATGGAAGTCACTATTGACCATGTTTATCTAACATACACTAGATTTAAATCGATGCCACTTGTTGTTATGATACGATCTGTGTGCAACAGCCTAGTCAAATCTGTACCTTCTCTTTTTGGACTTTCAATCCACCACTGTCATATACTTTTGTGCATATCTCTTCCATATATTTATCATATATGCATTCAGGATTCATTGGATTCAATCAGTGTGCTACCTCCACATTCTTAATTTGAATTTTCAAATCATTTTAATTAGTTCATACAGAACTTACAAATTGAATACAGTAATTTCGCTAGTGTTGCAAGTTGTTTTTATAGTTTAGGAGGTTTCTTTGTAGTTGAGCAACTAATTTTTATTGAGTTTCAACTAATCTAGTCTGTGATAAATTCTTATTGACAAGATGGTTATTGACAATACTTGGAATATATCTTATCCTTTTGCTTTATAGGTTGCATCAAGTGCACTAGGGTTTGGGCCTCAGATGGCCATGCAACTAGCAGAGCGATTATATACTCAAGGGTTTATCAGGTCTTATCTGCAAAGTGCAAACTTTCTGTTATATATATATATAAAATAATACTCATTGTTTTTCGCCTGAGCTTGAAGTGTTCTTTACAAATACGGTATCTTTTAGGTTTAGCTAATCCATATGGTTTTCTATACTGTGAAACTGGAGTTGGCAAAACTTTGTGTAATGAATTTTTTGGAATTGTTTTTTTTTTCACCCATTATGGTCCTTCAGGTAATCATGCTTGCCCCCTCAGAGGCTCAGACCATAAATCGGATTGATCCATTAGGCTGAAAGGGCAGAAACAAACACAGAAAATGGCAGAGAGGAGACAGGAAGGAAGATAACAATATACAAATTGTTCGTGTGTGTTTGTGGGACAAAGTATAGTATCAACCAGTTTTTTATATTTTGGAACACTTTGCAAATAATAGGTACTAAAAACAAGAAATTAGATTGCTATTAAAAAAACTGAAAGCTACACTTGAGGACACAGATCAGTAGATCATGTGCAGAATTATTAAAGGAACTGATGACTACAGAAAATCAAGAGACTTATTATTATTATTATTATTATTATTATTTTTTGTGCATCTGTGACTGATAAGTCCTAATGGAAGGACACAAGAAGCTAAAACTGTCTTAAGCCTTAAGGAGACAAAAAGAGGAACCTAGCTTACTGCTGCAGATACATGTTTTGGTTTAAGGCAACTTATTTACTGTTTTTGATGCTTATTGAATTTTGAATTTGGTGAAAAAGCCAAAAGATAGAGAAAAGCATGTTCTTAGATTTTTGCATTTCAATCTCGTAAATCATAATCTCTATTCATATCTGCTGTTAATTCTTTGTTTGGATAAATTTATTTTACTTGTGTATTCAGCTTCAGTTTCATGTAAAGAAAAGCAGAATTTCATGTTACTAATTTTTTTGATTGGTTTCCATAGGTCAAGTACTAAAGACACATCTTTCTTATGCTTATTGATGATACTATGGCTGGATTACGGATTTCATTAACATGTCATATGTAGGAGGCTAGGAACAATGAATTTATGAAACTTCCAATCAGTTCTCGTATTTTCTTGTTAAAAGACATCCAATCATGTGATAATTTCAGAAATCAATCTTACAACTTGATTCAGAATTCTGATTTTTTGCTTATATCTCTTGTTTTCTTGATGTATTTGCTATCCTTTGATCTTTCTGTGTCATTGACATTTGATTGTTTGTGGTATTAGTGAATGTGCTTCAGCTCGATGCCTTGTTTATGATAAATGTATGCAGTGATTTCAATAGGCGCTCGGGCGCTCGCCTAAGCGCTCGGGCGAGGCGAGGCGAGGCCCGAGCGCCTCGCTTCATGTCCAAGCGCCTCGCTTCAACGAGGCGCCGCCTAGGCGCTCGCCCGAGCCCAGGCGCCGGGCGCTTCGGGCGAGCGCCCGGGTTAAACCAGGCGACCGAACCAGTGTTTTACGTCTGGTTCGGTCTCCGGTGCTTTAGTTGGTTCAATCGAACCAACTAAATCACTGATAGGCTCCCTCTCACGATTTTCTCGACTTCCCCAACCCTAACACTCGCGATTTTGCCGTTGAGATTTCTTCTCCGTTGTCGTTGCTCTCTGCTGCCACTGCCGCTGCCATTGTCACTACTCGCCGCTACCACAATCGTCGCTCATTGTTGTTGTCGTCGCTCGTCGCTCGTCGTTCGCAGCTCCCGCTCCCACTCCCGCTATCACTCGCCGCTCCTGCTACCGCTA